CCAGCTGAGAAGACATTTAGCCAACTGAGCAGGCACTTAGCCAGCTGAGCAGGCACTTAGCCAGCTGAGTAGGCGCTTAGCCAGCTGAGCAGGCACTTAGCCAGCTGAGCAGGCACTTAGCCAGCTGAGTAGACATTTAGCCAGCTGAGCAGGCACTTAGCCAGCTGAGCAGGCACTTAGCCAGCTGAGTAGACATTTAGTTAGCTGAGCAGGCACTTAGCCAGCTGAGTAGACATTTAGCCAGCTGAGCAGGCACTTCCGGATAGAGATTACAACGCTTTCTGAATATATTTTCGTTCAGTTATCACTTGTATAAATTATTTTAACAGCGCCAGAATATTATATATGTCAACATGATTATCACCTCATGGAACGAAATTTATATCAAGATGCCAGTTATTGAAGACAGATAAATATTTAATGTCACTGTCGTCGTGTATTTCTTGACCTCATTGAGTGATATATGTTGACCAAACCACACACTAGAAGATGAGGAGACGACGACGTTTCGGTCTGTCCTGCACCATTATCAAATCCTCATGTTTTTGTAGATGTGATTGACAGGTAAATCTGAAAAAGAGGTAGAGAGAAATAAGCAGAGCAAGACAGAGGAAGACCAGCAAACAGAAGGAGAGAAAGTTCACACCTTACACTAAGGAGAATGAAATGAAGGTATTAGTTATATATCCGCTGGTGAAGAAGTCACTCAGGCGAAGTATTGGAATGCGTCATGTCGTTCCAGATAAGGAAATTTTATGCGCTGAAGAAAACGCCCCGGAAGGATTTCCAAAGGATGAAAGGGTTTTCTTTATGAGTTGTGGAATTAATTTAATCGAGTTTTCATTGAAATGGAAATCATGTATTATGATTTTTTATGCAGAAGTTTGGCTTAATTCATCCCAAGTTGCGTGTACTTGGCGGTGACGGGACGCGTAGGAGACGTCTTTTCTGGGGGATTTTTTTGTTATATCCCGCTGCAGAGTTTATTTCACAGTGGAGAAGAATGACGATATTTATTCTATTACTGAAAGATTTACAAAATTAATATACCTGTATTCCCAATAAATAAAACGGGGCATGTACTTTAAAAAGTAAAGCAGTGTCATAATAATAATTAAAGCAGGAACTTTTAAGGTTGGCAGGAACACGAAAGCAATAGATCACTAGGAACTCTAAATGACCCGACCAAGATTCGAACCCTTGACGTTCAGGATCACCCCCCAAACGTACACAGTACCGTGACCACCACACCATTGATCGTCTCATATAAATTAAAATATAAAATATGTCTTATTATATTGTGTTATTATATCATCTTAAAAATATAAGATGATCAATGGTGCAGTGGTCACTGTACTGTGTAAGTTACGGGTGATCCTGGACATCAAGGGTACCAAAATATTAATAATAATAATAATAATGGTAATAATAATAATAATAATAATAATAATAATAATAATAATAATAATAATAATAATAATAATAATAATAATAATAATAATAATAATAATAATAATAATAATATTTTATTCAGGAAAAGTACATATATAGATGCGAAGTTACAAATATAATGGTGGATTAATAGATAAAGCTAGTACATACAATACCTAAAGCCACTAATACGAATAGCATTTCGGGCAAGGTGTGGAGGACAAAAACACTTAGACTAAAACATAACAGTAATTGGGAGTAAAGTATAAATTGTGTTCAAAAAAAGAAAAAAAAGGGGGGAGGAACATGGCAGAAATCAGCAATTGTACAAGTTGGTCAACAAACAGCATTGTTTAGAAGTAAGACATGGGTTGACATTTATTGGGGTAAGTTAGGTTACATGGAGTTAATTAATTAGTACTTAGTTCTACTCATAAACTGGTTGAGAGAGGCACAGCCTTTCACATGATTGGGGAGGTCATTCCACATTCTGCGTCCCTTGAATTGCAGAGCATTTCTAGTTTAGTTAAGTCGCACTCTTGGAATATCAAATAGGTATTTGTGTCTAATGTGATGCCCATGAGTTCTATTACAACCCAGCGGGTATTCTTCCTATTGGGGAGTGTTGTACATGCTGCTATGGCGGTATGTCCACTCACAAGATGAGTGGCGCTGCCCAATAAACTCGCCTCTAGGGGCAAAATTTATAATTTACCACAGGATAACCATAGCCCGTGCTTCTTGCCCCTCTCCTGTGCCAGGTAAGTTACGGGCTCACCATAGCCCGTGCTACTTGGAACGTGTTCCGAGTAGCTGAATCTATAACAACAACAACAACTTAAAATTTAAAATGGACTTTATTTAGTTCAGTATTCACTGTGACATTTAGAGCAAGAGGGTCAGGAATGGAGAAAATGAAGGTTGTGTCATCAGCAAATAGAATGGGTTTGAGATGTTGAGAGGCATGAGGAAGGTCATTAAATATTTTCACAGGTTTGCGCGGAAAACAGCGGCTTGTCAAAGGTCCCTCCATTTGCCCTGATGATTTTATCGAGCTTGATCTTGAATTGCAGCAGTGTTTTGACATTTGCGGCTTCGGTGGGTAGGCTGTTCCATGGTGGTTCCATCTTTAACAAAACCATATGGTTGAGTTGAAGACGGTGTATGAAGATGTATCTATATCAAATTAGTCTTGGATTCCTTTGGGGCCATTGATTGTGTTTGTTGTGTTGTTGGCTTTGGTGTGTTAGTACTTGGGTTTTCAAGTGCAGTTTGTAGTGGCATATTTTGGTTAGCAAGGGAGAGCTAGTGTTGGCTAGAATTAGGACGACTACGCATGAGATTGCATTAGTTTGGGGTTAAATTTGCAATTTACTTGTGCGTTTTCTGTGTTAGTTCAGTGGCTGGTGTGAATGGGGTGACTGAAGGATTTATTTACAGGCTTTATTTATTTATTTATTCATTTAATATATATACAAAAAGGTACATTGGATTTATGAGAATACATAGCATGGTGCGTTCACATTTTTGTAAAGCCACTAGTACTCAAAGTGTTTCGGGCCGGTCCTTAATCTAACAGATAATATTAAGTAGATAATTTCTAGCAAAATTAATAAAATGTTCACAGGTACATTGTAAGAAAATTTGACAAAGATTAGTAGGCACATTGATAGCTTTGATTGAAAGCTAATTGATAATTTGACAAAGATTAGTAGGATGTTCTATAAGATGATAACAACTAATTATTCAGTCAATTTGTATTTATTTATTTATTTATTTATTTACTTATTTATTTATATACAAGAAGGTACAAGGTACAGGAACCAGAGAGAATACATAGCATAGTATTTACAATCTTGTAAAGCCACTAGTACGCGCAGCGTTTCGGGCAGAAGGAAGGGGGGACCAAACAAACGCAAAGTACATGCATATATATATATATATACACACAGACTGCCCGTCCCCTACAAAACATGGACATATATATACATATAATATATAAGTGCATTCAATTATAGCAACAAGATTTGTCCACATCAGCTCCGGATATAATACTAATAATAGTAATAATAATATCTAATCTATTGTCAACCAATGTCTGTTTTTCTTTAAAGAGCGCTGTTTGTCGACATAATTGTATTTGTGCTGCTTTTTCATCTATGTTTTCATTTCTTGTTTTCATTCTACTCATTATGCTCAATTAGTATTAAGCTTGTCATTTAAGTTTATCATGCCCGAAACGCTTTGCGTAATAGTGGCTTTAAGCATTGTATGTACTAGCTCTACCTATAAGTCAACCAATCTTTGTAAATATTTATTGTATGTATGTACCTTACCTAAATAAACATTTTATTTTTTTATTTTTTTAATAATATCTACTGAGAGGTGCCGGGGGTCCGGCGGGCCCCTGGAGACTCCTGTATTCCCTTTGGACGAGGAGTGCCCCTACCTCTCACTCTGCCGGGGTTGTTACCTTGTGTGTGGTGTGGTGAGGGTGGCCGGTGTGCCCTGCCGGGGGTACTCTTCTGGACCGGTGCAGTTATCGGGAGGACAAACCCTTCATGCAAACTGTACCTACTATCAAAACGAAGATTCTTCTGGTGTCGACAGGTGGTCAGCTCCACTAAGCGATTTTCTTTTGCTCTCGGGATAGTTTCTCGTTTTGTTGTCTGCTTTTCCTCCGTGAACAGTTAAGAGATCAGTTACACAACATGTAACGTAGTGTAACTGATCGCTTAACTGTTCGTGGTCTCGAGTTATTGAGACTCAACTCTATGAGACTCTTGAGACTCTCAACTATGGTATTTGTGCTTGGGGCTCTACTACCCAAAATCACTTACGTCCTCTAATTACTCAACACAAAGCTGCTATTAGGACAATATCCAATTCTGGCCCCAGACATCACTCGGTACCCCTACTCAAATCTCTGAATATGTTAGACATTAAGTCACTGCACATTCTCTCATGTGTATTATACATATATAAAACGCTAAACTATAATGCCAATCCTGATCTCAAAAGCTAAAGCCAGTTTAAGTTAAAAACGAAGCTATACCTAATAAATTCCCTGTAACCTACCTTACCCCTCTATTGTCAACCCAAGTATGTTTTTTGTTTATTTTGTTTTTCATATCAACGCTGTTTGAATGTAATTTTCTGTAATAATTTGTAATTGTATTTGTGCTGCTTTTTCAACAATGTTCCCCCCTCTTTTACCTCTATTTTTATTTGTACTCAACGCATTTTTTTCTTTTTACCCATTAGTTTTAAGCTTTAGTCATTAGTGTTTTTTCCTGCCCGAAACGCTTTGCGTAATAGTGGCTTTAGGCATTGTATGTACTAGCTCTATCTATAAAGGCAACAAACTTTGTAAAATCTCTTTATGTATGTACCTTTACCTAAATAAAAATTATTATTATTATATAATTATTATTATTATTATTATTGCGCACACGACCGGTGTAATCTATCGTTTTCAACACGATTGTAATTGTTTTGTTTTCATACCGGGAATCCGGATCGGCAGGGAGCATACGTCGGTTCGACGCCACTCAACAATAACAAAAAAAAATAAGAGGTAGGCTGGTTTAGTTACCAGTGTTGGACGTAGTTTCTTATACCTTAAGTTATGCTGTCTGCTTTAATAATAAGTTCTGAACTTATTAAGTTTAGGAGTAAGTTCTTGTTTCACCCACTCTTGTAATAAGTGCCCGAAACGCTACGCGTACTAGTGGCTTTACAAGAGTGTAAATACTGTACTATCCAATGTATTCTCACAAACCCAATGTACCTTCTTGTATATATATAAATAAATAAATAAATAAATAAATAAATAAAGTCGACTGCTATACAGACTGAAAAGATATATATCATTATTATTGCATGTAATAGTGGAAAGTAATTGTATCGTGATTTAATGAGTGACAGTTCGTTTTATAGGGGACAGGCAGCCTGTGTGTGTGTATATATATATATATATATATATATATATATATATATATATATATATATATATATATATATATATATATATATATATATATATATATATATATATATATATATATATATATATATATATATATATATATATATATATATATATATATATATATATATATATATATATATATATATATATATATATATATATATATATATATATATATATATATATATATATATATATATATATATATATATATATATATATATATATATATATATATATATGTGTGTGTGTGTGTGTGTGTGTATGTCGTACCTAGTAGCCAGAACGCACTTCTCAGCCTACTATGCAAGGCCCGATTTGCCTAATAAGCCAAGTTTTCATGAATCAATGTTTTTTCGACTACCTAACCTAACCTAACTTTTTTGGCTACCTAACCTAACCTAACCTATAGATAGGTTAGGTAGGGTCGGTTAGGTTCGGTCATATATCTAAGTTAATTTTAACTCTGATAAAAAAAAATTGACCTCATACATAATGAAATGGGCAGCTTTATCATTTCATAAGAAAAAAATTAGAGAAAATATATTAATTCATGAAAACTTGGCTTATTAGGCAAATCGGGCCTTGCATAGTAGGCTGAGAAGTGCGTTCTGGCTCCAAAGGTACGACATATATATATATGCATATGCATATGCATGTACTTTGGGTTTGTTTGGTCCCCCCCCTCCCTCTGCCCCAAACTACTGACCTTCCCCAGGATATAACCCCACAACAGTTGCATAACTCCCTGGTATCTATTTACTGTTAGGTGAACAGAAGCATTGGTGAAAGGAAATGTGCCGAACCATTTCTGCCTGACCTGGGATTTGAACCCGAGACTGCTGATTATATGTGCTCATCTAGTTGTTCTAGTAGGGGTTGAGCTTTGGCTCTTTGGTTCTGCCTCTCAATTGTCAATCAATTGGAGTTGATTTATTTTATTTATTTATAACTGGTATACAGAGCTTACCGCGCTCTATCATATCTACATTTGAAACTGTGTATGGAGTCTTGTCTCCACCACATCACTGCCTAATGCATTTAATTTGTTAACTAATCTGACATTGAAAAAAATCTTTCTAATGTCTCTGTGACTCATTTGGGCACTCGGTTTCCACCTGTGTCCCCTTGTGCATGTTCCACCCGTGCCTTTCATTTCATGTTCTCTCCTGATTCCATGTATAACTAACCATCCTGTGAGATTGGGATATTTGATGAACTTATAGCTAGTATTTTATTTATACTTTGTAATCGTTCATTTAGAATAGGGTAGCTGCACATTGCTGTCTATACCTAAGCTTCTTAATAAAACAAAAAACAAAAAAGTAATTTTTTTATGGTAAAATTTTGGTTAGTATAGTACAGTACCTTAAATATCCCATACTACAATTAAATTATTTTGCTTTAAATTTTACTAGAAAACTAATTGGTCTAGCTAAAAGCTTGAGTTAGCTGGAAAATTTTGTTAGTTAAACTAGGATTTTTTTCCTTAAATTTATTTTGTAGCTTGTTTGTAATTTTGTTTTTTAACTGCATTGGTTCAGTATATATGTATTTATTTTAATTGACTTGCTTAATCTATATTTTTCCCAACAGTTAAGATATGGATGCATCAGAGTATTCAAGTAGCAAAGACCAGTTAATTCCAGGAGGCTTTAATCCTCTTCTTCGTGATGTATCAAAATATATAGAGAAGTCTTTGGAATGTGTCATCCATAGTGGTCAAGGTCAAACCAACAAAAATCAAGATGATTTATCAATGAAGAAGCAGACGAATGCAGAGGCTAATGACTTGGACAAACTTTTCACAATTTTATCCTTGCCACCTAGGTTTACCACTGTTCGAGTTAATCTACTTAAAACGACCTTGAGCAAAGCTTTAGTGCTTATTGAAGAGCAGCTCAGGTCTCAGCATGTTGGTAAAAATATCTCACTTCCTGTAGTATATCCACATCATGTTCTGCCAGATTTATTAGTAATAGAATCTTTTGGTATTCAGGATGTGCGGCCAGCAGCAAAGAAGGTGATAGTAGGGAGAATGTGTGGCTCGGCTGTACTGCGTGGGGCAGAGGTGTTTGCTCCTGGTGTTTTAGGAGCATCAGCAGACCTTCACACTGGTGACTCTGTAGCTATATTTGCTGACCTCGATGACACATGTTTAAGAGGGTGCAAAATGTTTAGTGGTAGGAAGATGTTTTTAGGAAATGGGATAGCAGTTCAGAGTAGAAAGGATCTCTTCAAGACGTCAAAACCTATTGGTTTGGCAGTCTCAGTGAAAGATAAGATATTTGATGCTCCTAGTTTGGGAAACTGTCACTCAGATTTATTGTTCCTTCAAAACTTGCCATCGGTGTTATGTAGCCATATTCTTAATCCTACTAAATATGCTCAAGTGCTAGACATGTGTGCAGCCCCAGGAGGAAAATCGACTCACATTGCAACTCTTATGTACAATACTGGGCAGGTAATTGCCATTGACAGGTCACAAAATAAAATTGACCAGATTAGATCAAATGCACAAAAGTTAGGCCTTACAAATGTAAAAGTGTATAAGTATGATAGCACAAATTTAATTTCTACAGTAGATCTAACTGGTGAAACCTCAAGGGAAGAAAAAAAGGAGATTAGTTTAACTTATAAGTCTTCAGAATTGGATACATGCAAAATTTTGAGTGAATTAAGTAATAAAGATCAGGAATATGTTTCTTGTTCACCACCATACAAGCCTTCCTCGTTCAGATGGATTTTACTTGATGCCCCTTGTAGTGCACTTGGTCAGCGTCCCCAGATTCAAACCAAAACTAATATAAAAGAATTGGAATCTTTTCCAGTCATTCAACGTAAACTGTTGCAGAATGCCGTAAAGTTACTTAAACCAGGAGGGAAGCTTGTGTATAGTACATGTACTATTGTTTTGGAGGAAAATGAGAAAATGGTGAAATGGCTTCTGGATAAATATACAAATATAGAACTAATAGATACAACTCCTAAGCTTGGTAAACCAGGACTGTTACATTCTGGGCTAAACAAGGAGGAGTGTGATAAGGTGCAGAGGTTTGGCCCTTTTCCTTCTACTAATGTGGGTCTTTTAAATATTGACGATGATACAATTGGTTTCTTTGTTGCTGCATTTAGAAAGGTATTGTGATAATCACTTGGAACTTTGTTCGTAATTGATAAATGGTGCACTTTGTGTAGTATAATTATGTAATTGTAGTTACAGTAGGCCCTTCATTAACTACTGAATCATTCAGCTCATTTGATTTTCCTATGACTACTGCATTCCTAAAGAAATACTTTGTTTTTTTTCTACATCAATAGGTCAAAGACCAGGCTTCAGTGGAATCCTCATCACAGCTCCTATGGATTTTCTCATTGATACATCACGTTAGTGTGATTACTGTCTGTGCTATCCACCCTCTGTATGATATTATGGTTTCGATTATATTTACTAGCTGGCCCTGTGTTAACTGATTTTCCATATGTATTGTCCATATTTTCCATATTGAACTGTATGTATTTTATTTATACTTCACATATTTATATTCATTTGTGATGGAGAGTAAAGCTTTTTGTACTAAATTTTATCGCATTATTTGCACCTTGAGAAAATTATGTGACTTTTTATATTCTTTGCTCAAACATTCCATTCAACAGCTAGATGACTGGAAACTTGTTACTGTACATTATTTATTAATGGATGCCTGCAATATGTAAAAAAAAATTGATATGTAGTATACTTTCTTGTGAGACAATCAGGTAACATGTAATGCAAACTTATTAGTTTAGTGAACAGAAAGAACAATAATGAATTCTGCCCGAAACGCTTTGCGTAATAGTGGCTTTAGGCATTGTATGTACTAGCTCTATCTATTAATCCAACAAACTTTGTAAAATCTCTTGTATGTATGTACCTTACCTAAATAAACATTTATTTATTTATTTATTTATTGGAAAAATATTTTTTAGTAGACGTGTGTGATGGTAATATATGTTGTGATTTCATTTTTGTGTATCAGTATTTTGTCTATAACACAGCTGTGCTGCTGGAGTGATGTTTCTTAATTGTCCATTAGGATTTCCTTAAATTTATCTGAGGGCCACTATTTCTAGTGGCCTTGACAGAGACTGAAAGCCGGTAGCTTCTCTAAGATCACTCCGTTGTTCCTGAGAATTTTTTCCCACTGGATTTTTAACTGAAGTAATGTCTTGGCATTTACAGGTTTACATTTCTATCTGCTTTGAGAAACTGTCTTCCAACCAAATGAAAGTGGGAATGGAGAAATGAAAATGCTGCATCCTGAGAACGAAAGATCAATCCTTATTAAATAACCAAAACCAATTGCCATACAAATGAAGTATTGTACAGTATAACTTAGGTACTGTATTACCTTTTCATAAATACAGCATATAAATATCTATACAGTATTAATGAATGTGTTGTATGTATATATTAAATAATCCATAAATACAAAAAGTATATATTTACTTGATATCTGTAGTTGATGATTCTGTTAAAGGCAAAGCTATTATATACTGTACCAAGTTTTATTAATCTATTACATTAACTGTACATAGATAGCTAATACAGTACTGTACAGTAATTTCATTTTTAATAAATATCAATAATTAAAAGTGGGTCAATATTCCAATTTATTCTTCACCCTTTTGTGGCCAGTTTTGTGGTTCATATAGTTTAGCAGTCTACATTCTTAATTCACAACCACAGGAATTAATTCTATTATTTTATGATATTCACCCAAAAATATCACCCAAAATGATATTCTCCTAGTAATTTTAACAATGCATTTATTGTCTGTCTTTGCCCACCAAAACTACTTCCTGTCTGATTGGTGATTGTGAATAGCAAAGGTATTGGTAAAGACATCTTGTGTGCCTACTCATTATTCCTTAGTAAAGTTCAATAATATATATTAATTCCTGAAAAACGTTAAAAATATTTTTTTTTTTTTTTTTTGAGATATATACAAGAGTTGTTACATTCTTGTACAGCCACTAGTACGCGTAGCGTTTCAGGCAAGTCCTTAATCCTATGGTCCCTGGAATACGATCCCCTGCCGCGAAGAATCGTTTTTTCATCCAAGTACACATTTTACTGTTGCGTTAAACAGAGGCTACAGTTAAGGAATTGCGCCCAATAAATCCTCCCCGGCTAGGATACGAACCCATGACATAGCGCTCGCGGAACGCCAGGCGAGTGTCTTACCACTACACCACGGAGACTGGTGTAGTGTATTGTGCTTTTAGGAGAGATGTGGATTGCAAACAGCCTGGACATATAGACTGAAATATCCTATACTCTGCAGAAAATGTTTTTTATTTCTTCCTGGGCTGCAGATAAGCATAAAACGCAAGCAAGTCAATTGCTCTTAATGTACCAAGAGTCTCCCTGACGTGGTGTCGTCTTCTGATAATTACTTAACACACAAAAAATGTCAGCTATCTCAATGAAATTTTGTCATTTGTAGATTTTTTCTATTGGGAATTTAATAATCATGCTAGGACTTTTTGAAGTTTTGCAAATGCTGCTTTTATGTGAGGGCTGCCATCTCTAGAGGCCTTGATGAAGAAATGAAGGGTGCTAAAAATGCTAACAATTGGTTAATTGTGAAAGTGCATGGGAGTGCCAAGTTACAATTACAGCACTACAGTACTTAAGAATAGAAATTAATAGAGTTCATAATTATAGTTTGAATGGTTTATCAATTTCATTTTCTATTAAAATTAAAAAGGTATAATATTTTCTCTGCACATAATATGTACTAAGTGCACTAAGATATATTTTAAAAACAAATGATTTGTGACTAGTTTGCATTTTTACTATTATACAGATTCGGTACACAGAATCTTTAATATACCATATTCACATGAAAACAAATATTAAATAAAACAAATTAGTTTAGAAAAGCAAACAAAATACTGTACTGTCATTGAGTAGTTTGGGCATTAAGAAAGGTTAAAACAAAAAAAGCAGTGTAGTTACCAACATTGAGAGTATGGTACTCTATTGTAATAATGGATTGAAAAAAATATATTGGAAATAATTACAGGTACAGTATATATTTTGTAAGTGGCAGCAATTATTAGCGGCATTCTTTGAAGGAGTTGCTCTATTTCTGTGTTTTGCTGCATAAGAAGTCTAATGGATGTCATTCTACTTTCTTGAAAGTTAATTAACCACTGTAGCATGTTTTAATATAAATCTTATAACCATTACTATTATTATTATTATTTTAAATACTGTTTAGGCTTTCTCTATCGTGATTGCCACATAATACACTAAGTTTACATATAACATATAGGCCAAATCCAAGCTTTAATAGATTAATTAAAATGAACCAAACTAATACTGTAGTACAGCACATACATATTTTCTCAAGGGTGCGAGACAAGCCTAATACGAAGTGACTAACAATGTTCGAAACAACTGTGTACGATAACACTGTTTGCGGCGAATTAAACTGTTGCCATAGACATTTTTCAGGAATTTCATTTACCTATTTATTTATTTATTTATTTATTTATTTATTTCTATACAAGCAGAAACAGTACATTGGGCTGTGAGAGTACATAACATTGGTGTTCTTACATTCTTACAAAACCACTAATATATACTTGAATATGAATATTTACCTCTATCCGTGTAAGGGATATGGTCGTTTCGGACACGAAACGATTTGAAGAAGTTCGTTCTCTGTTAAAACTGTGTATATTGCTATGCTAGGATGTATTAGCTCAGGTTAGATTGTATTTCATTCGGGTGGGTTAGGTTAAGTTAAATAGGTCTCAAAATCCGTTAGTGAGTCGCCTTGTGTACGATGTGACCTGTATCCCCCCTTTGTAACATTATATTGCCTCAAATATTCTTTTATTATTCGATTACTTAAAATTATTGTCCCAAAATAATATATTGCTCCCTATTAATTTATAATTAAATAGTATAAATATTTAGTATAATAAATTATTTTTGTAATAAATTTGGAGTTTGTAATTATTAGTCCATGTAGGACGGGCTATGGTGAGCCCGTAAAGTTATTAGTCCTGATAAACAATGAAGAGGTATCCACGTGCTTGATGGTCCGAACTTGCCAGTCGTCTGATAACATGGCTGATACAAAGACAAATAAAAGGACTATGAAAGTCCTTTTGAAAGAATTTAAAGCTGACAAAGTGAAGAATGCCAACATTATCGTAGATATAATGGAGCGTCTTGAGGTAAGGAAATTATAGACTATATGAACGCAGCATCTGTTAGCCTGTATCAAAGATGCAAAGCATGCTGCTATCCTGTAGGAGTTTTCCAAATTTACATATATATACTTTGTATCAATTAGTATCGTGGAGCCTGAAGGCTGAGTGGAAAGCGCTCAGCGTCTGTAGTCCTAAGAGTCCAGGGGGTCCGTCTAATTACCACAAGCTTCACAAAGCTTCCTGGCAATACGTTAGTAATGAATAACCTAACCTAACCTAACCTAGCCAAATCTAACCTAACCTAACCGACGCTTGAATCGTCGATTTGATTTGGCATCACCAGCTCTTTATTTTCATCTAATTTCTTTATAAAAAGATATTTTTCAGATTAACTTGTTTTTTCGTGTTGTACAGAGTTTCACCTTGATGCACCTGTTCACCTAGCAGTAAATAGGTGCTTGGAAGTTAGACAGCTGCTACGGGCTGCTTCTGGGTGTCAAAATTAGGATTAAGGGCTTACCTAAAATGCTATGTGAGCTAGTGGCTGTACAAGAATGTAAGAACTCTTGTATGATAAGAGTATAATATATATAAAATTTATTTCATAATAATTATTCAGATGGTAATTGTTTGTATCCATTGTATCCTGTGCAATGTCCTCAAGAAGCCGAATTTAACATATCCTAATCCATTCTAACCTAACTTGTTGTGTGTAAAATGTCCACATAATAGTTGATTGCACCCCTATACACTTAAGGCTGATGACCTTAAGCTTTAGCCCCCATGTACAAGAATGTAAGAACCCTTGTACATATAAATAAATAAATAACAGAAGTGTTGGCTGCTGAATGCAAAAGGAGACCATACTGAATATTGCATCACTATGATTTCTACAAATCAAAGCTCATCAAAATACTGTATTTTGAAAGGATATATGACTATTGCATGCTTTGAATTTTATTACTTTTATATGGTTAATGTAGTTTTTATTTTTTTAGAATAGGAACGTAAGAATTATGGAAACTTCAGAATGCCTATTGGCCTATACAAGGCAGCCCCTATTTGTATACATAGATTCATGCACATACATATACCTGTACTGTATTTCTAACCAATGCATCAAACAATCAAATGATCTCACTTCTTCTGTGTTACCCAGTAATTTATTAGGCTTCTTGAGGTGCCCCTAGCCAATAACCGACGTCTTCCAGGATGCAGCCCACAGCGGTTGACTAACTTCCAAGTACTATACTGTACCATTTTTGACAAAGTTTAAATTTTTTCAGAGCAATGAAACTGGGACAATAAAATCTGCCATAACTGGATTACATCATATATTTACATTCCTTTTAAATGAAGACAGCATCAAGATTCCAACTAAAATACCTGGTAAGAAACAAATACTGTAACTGCAATTATATTCAAGGAAAGAAATTTTGCGGGTTATATATGTTATATTCAAGTTGTTAAGATAGGCAGTCGACAATAAACGTTGCAGGATGCAGATAAAAGGCAATGTATTCTGTGCAAAAAGAATTGGAATGGTATCTGTACAAAATGTAAATTGTAACTTAATTATATTATATACTTAAATTTTTGTGTAAGTGTATGATTTATGTGTACCGATTTTATAAGTAAAGTACTGTATAGTGTCTATGCATATCTGTTTAGTGGCTATAGGAATGAGGTCTAGTTTTTTTTTTCATGCTTTTAATTCGTAATTATGAAACCAAATATGACATAATTGAGTTACATTCATATTTGGTTTCGAAGTTGCTGATTGAGAAGATACCCATGACATTATTTTCAGTGCATACCTTTTGCTAATCACCAGTACTGGCCATAAGCTCTCGCTCATGTTGCCATGACACACTTACGTTTCCATCTGATTAGTATTTTTAGATGTACAGTACTGGAAAGTGTGGGGAAATTGTCACTGACTTCCTGTTCCTTCCCTAGCTGTAAATATAGTGGCCAACAGGTAAATATATGCCAAAGATAAATGTTGTGTGCAGATTATTGCTTAGATATATTACATAAAATTAGAAATAATGAAAAGATGAGAACAGAAAAGTATGACAGCTTTAAGTATTTAATATGCAAGGCTGTAGTGAGAATAGATTAATGAAAAAAAAGACTAGTATGAAATTCATGAAGATTTTACTCATAGGGTAGGTAAGAGAATGGATAAATGTGTGACGGACTAATGTTTCCTTGAGTATACTTGAAGGACCACCAACTCTTGTGGCCTGATGGGGACAGGAAGCCAATAGCTTGTCAAAGGTGACCTGCAACTCTGCTGAGGTTGTAATATATAGACGTTCTCTAGGAAATAAATATAGAATACGAAAAAAGTTAAATTAAAATTAAATATACATGAAAGAAAACAACTGGGATGGTAAAATGTGTTTCCCTATCATCAGGGGCATTTGAAAAGATCATTGTTATTCCTGTGCAGATTGTCTACCTGTCCAAACTGAGAAAGATCCTATCCAGTAGATGGGACCAGTAGGCCTTGCCACAGGGAGTTAAAGATTGGTACTTCACGGAAAACCTATTTCATAGAGTACAGTATTTGAGTTTATAGTGAAGAATAACTATTTCTCTGAAACATATATCTAATTCGAGTGTACAGTATCTAAAAATTACGGTAAATAGGTACTAAGTATGCTTATTTAATTCACAGGCAGTGTAGATAGTGCAAATAGAAAATTTAATCGGTGGCTGTATCAAAGATACGATGAAACGCACAAGAAATTGCTCAGCCAACTTGGACATGAAGGTAGGGCTCCTTATTACAACTGTATAATGTATAAGCTTGTTTAGTAATATGATTTATACAACCATTTCGGGTTTTTATGTGTGCACTCTTCAGATTAACATTTTTTTCCATTCGTTATTTGAAATTATCTCCTGTACGTGGATCACTGTCTGTCGTTATCTATGGTGCTCCAATTGCTGTCTGCGATTGCCTCCTGTGCTTCAATTATCATCTCCAATTTCCTCCTGTGTTCCAATCACTATCGGTGATTTTCTGCTGTTTCAATCTCAATCTTTACAATTACCTCAGGGGCTTTCATTGCCATATGCTGTAATTTTTATTCGATTTGTAACTATTTTTAGTCATGTGCATCTCGATGTAATACAGTACTTTTAAACAGCTGTGCTGTTTAAGGGTTAAAATGCGTATTCGTTTTATATTTCTCATTACTCCTACTTTGTCTCTGCCCAATCACTTGGACTGGACAGCAGAGAGATAGCATCACCTCTTGCAGGTCAGCGTTCAATCCCCAACCATCCAACTGGTTGAGCATCATTCCTTTTCTCTATCCTATCTCAAATCTATATCCTGATATCCCACCCAAATGTTATATAGTCAAAATGGCTTAGCATTTTTGCCTGATAATTACCTTGCCTTACTTTGTCTTTATTGAAATGCTGTCCGTAGTGTTTATCTACTTGTTCACTTGCAGCATTTGTACCTCTGTATTTTGCTGGTGGAAATGCTATTACAGTTCCACAAATATTTATAATTTTAGCATTTTGTTTGTCTTACGTTTTATCCAGTATCTAGCTGATGTGTCAACTTTCGATTCAGATTCATTATCTCAAATTGTTTTCAATTATATTAAGTTTTCATAATTTTTTTTAACTAAAGTAAAATTCAATATGCAGCATTAAAAAATTACTGGGTCTGTTGTAAATCTTTTTCTCAGTAATGTATCATCACTGTATTTCTGGAACACACAACATTTCTGCATTTCTTTTAACACATAATAAGTACAGTATGCAATTATCTTGAATTTATATCTGATATGTACAGTATGTGCAACTTTGTAAAACCCTTGGAATTCTTTATACATCAGAACAATCAGCACTAAAACTAATTTTGTCAGTAGCAAAATTGCAATACCTTGTAATTATTATCATTAATATTGCTTTTATATTTTAGAACAATCGGTACAGGAACTGGCATTGTGCTCCATAGTAAAGTTAATCCAATCTGAAGGACGACATCCAGTAAAGACGAGAACAGATGTTGCCTACCAGTTTCCCATGCACAGATTACGGGTAAATAAACAAATGAATTATAAGGAGATGCATTATACAGTGACAAATACAAAAATTAGAGACAGCAGGGTCTCTTATTTTCCTGTTCAATTATCTCTGTAAGGGGATATAGATAGGCATCTAATCATATCAACCCAAGTGTAGAATATGAAACAAGGTTTTCAAATTGAATAAACTTAGATTTAGTAAATTAATTGGTAAATACTGATTCAGAAATAGGATTGCTGGTCTGGGAATTAAGTTAAGAAGTAATTTAATAAAAGCAACAGCACAGGAAACTTCCGAGTGGGAGTGGTAGGTTGTAAAGAAGAGCTGGTGCATATGGGCCAATAGTTTTTTTCCAGATACCTCTATTCATACAGTCTTTTTTTTTTTTTTTTTTGAGATATATACAAGAGTTGTTACATTCTTGTACAGCCACTAGTACGCGTAGCATTTCGGGCAGGTCCCTGGAATACGATCCCCTGCCGCGAAGAATCGTTTTTTCATCCAAGTACACATTTTACTGTTGCGTTAAACAGAGGCTACAGTTAAGGAATTGCGCCCAGTAAATCCTCCCCGGCCAGGATACGAACCCATGACATAGCGCTCGCGGAACGCCAGGCGAGTGTCTTACCACTACACCACGGAGACTGCTAATGTGCCGTCTTTTTCTCTACAGCCTTTGATAATGGCCCTTGTCTCAAGCTCTGTGGATTACCGCCATCTGATCACGCTTTTGTTTGAGTATATGGAATGCCAAGACTTCATGTTCTTTACTCTCATGGTATGATTATTTTAAAATTGTTAGTTGTATAAAACATCTGTATTATGTGTGCATGTACATTCAACAGTAATCCTAGCTAGCTAGCTTGCTTGCTTTCTTTTACCACATATATATATGTTTTAGATATTTATTATGTCTTTGGACGTTAAAGAAAAATTATCAAGATTTGCCAAAAAAATTTATTTACAAATGATTGATCACTTGAATTGGTCTTATTATATTGTCATGGTTTTGTTTCCCTCTTGGAACAACCAATCTGTGATATTTTAACTACAGTACATGCAATTAAAAGATTCTGAAGTAGCACATAAAGTATTTTATAAGATTATTTGATGTGTTGATTCAACTCGCAAAAGTTCAGTAGTAGAAAACTTAGATGCAGTGTAAACGGAAAAGACAAAAGTAAACAATTCACAATTAATTTTGTAGTGGAAGAGTAATGTGGAAGAAAAAGGAAAAAAATACCAAGTGTCATTGATGTGTGAGTGTGGGCAAAGAAAAGAAGTATTGGTTTGAATGGGGGGGTATTCCCCTTCTACTTCTCACAAGCAATGCTTACGTAGTAATGGGGGCTAGTAGCTTTAGAAATTAAGATGTTGAATAAAAAGCAGCCAATGTTTAGCACTAAACATGTCCACTACTGAAATTAATTGTGACATTTGTACTTGGGAATTTGTTCTGGGGTCTAACATGTACTGGGACTTGTCAAGAATAATGTTATTGATTAAAGAAACCACGAAAAAAAAATGTGTACATGAGATAATGTTTTAAGTTTTGATATTTCCTGAATTGAGTTTGATGGTTTTTTGGTATAGTGCATTATGCATATTAAGGAGTTTTAGAACTTTCTAGTCTGAAATGAGATTTTGTATTATTGTCTGATCAAGCACTAGTTAGTATTTGTTAATACCTTGTACTGTACCTACATATATTCTGTTCAGTATAAACCACTGGATGTTAGTCTAATATTAATTCTAACATTTTTCAGACGTTGAGCATTGTAGTTAAAGCACAGAAAGGTAAAGATGTCTCGGTAAAATTCATGAACAACCTGTTCCCTCTGTTAGAACAAATAAACATACCGATGGAAAATGCTGCTAATCTTGAACGACCTAAGTTTCTCTTGGAGCCTAACAGTGGTAAGTAAGAATTAACACTGATGTCAGTAGAGAATTATATGCTGCATTAGACGGACATACAGTACTGACTTTAATTTGTTTGTGCTGAACAGCACAGCATTAAAACTCACAGCTACATAGTCTACCCAGCTTGGTGCCTTCTTTTGATAATTACTTAAAGGTCACCAATAATAGTTAAATTTATGAGTCTGCAGAGACGGCAGACAATTACCAAGATAAACATTTTTAAATGGAACAAATGCTATGAAATACCTGGTAGCCATATATAAAAGTTGCTAACAGAAATCTAGCTACACAGTCACTGTTCAAAGAAAGATGCACAGTCAGCATCTGATGGCTGTAGTTGTTTTTGCATGTATGAAAGTCATCCAAAGATTTCAAAGATTTTGTTTTTTGATTCCCAAAGGAAGTGAGGCAGGAGCAGATGAGCAGCCCATGTTCACGATTCCATATGACAAAGCTAAGATTGCCATCAACACCATATGGCCCGAGGTACTGAGGTATCCTTTAACGCCTGATTTGTATCGCCGGAGTTTGATTCTCATACCCGAGAAGGTGATGCATCACTTGGATTCACCCATTAATCTCACAGATTTCTTCATGGAATCCTATAATCTTGGTTAGTAGAAGTGAATTGCAATATGTATTTTGGAAGTTCTGATTATTTGCTAATGTCTACCTTTTGTTCTTGTTTAATTTTCTATTGCATTTCCACCCTTGTTCTTTATTTAAACATAATGGCTTAGTGCTTTCTCCTGATAATTACCTTACTTCACCCTTTTCCTAGTACTATAAATTATGTAGCTACAGTACAATTTTGTTGTATATTCACTTAACAACCCACAAGGGTAAATCTGGGCAAGCAGCTTTGATGCAACATTCAATCAATGTTGATAACATAATCATAATTTTTTTAAATAATAAGACTATATATACAGATACTGTGATTGAAAATGTTAATGCTTTGTTATTGTACTATATTTTTCCTGCTGGGGCCTTTCAATTTTATACAAAGGCAATTATTTAGGATAGAATCTTGTAACAGAAATATTTTAGTATTTTTAAATCAAATTTTCCGAAACTATTATTATAAACATAACCAATCTATAAATAGAATTGATTTAAGGTGCTATTTTCTAAATGATATCCTTACCTGCCAGTTTTATTTTTTGGTTTTATATTGTTTTGAACTCACTGCTGCTCTTATGATAAACAGTTGTGCTCATCACAAGTGAATATTGTCATTGTCAATTGTCATTGAATATTGTCATTGTCATGCAGAGACTTCGTATTATGTCTGCGTATTGTGGTGTGAGCTTTAATACTGTATTTAAAGTTTCCCCATGTTAGATCAGAGGCCTAAATATTATCATTCTCATTACAGTTTTAAATGACTTTTATTTTGTTTTAGTCCTCATAATGACTAAATAAGAACATGCAGACGAGGAGTCACAATAATGTGGCTGAAATATGTTGACCAAACCACACACTAGAAAGTGAAGGGACGACGACGTTTTGGTCCGTACTGGACCATTCTCAAGTCGATTGTTGACCATTCTTAAGTCAATGTATTTCAGCCACGTTATTGTGACTCCTCGTCTGCATACGAATAATCTTATAATATCCTGCCACTTATCTGCCTTACAGGTGGTGCTATCAGTCTCTTAGCCCTTCAAGGTGTGTTCATCTTAGTACATAAACATAACTTGTAAGTCCTTAATATTTATTTGTAAAATTTAAATGCATGGTAATTGTTAAGTAGAGAAGCTAAACTGGTGGTTATAAATTTTTTTATATAAATGTAATAAATGAAGATGAATTTATATACAGTGGAGGCCTCTCTGTAAAACTGTAATTTTGTAAAGTTGCCCTGTCAAAACTGTAATATCATATATTATTTAATTGCATTAAATAATATATGAATTTTGGATTTTTATAATTATTTTAATTTGTGCAGGGAGTATCCAGATTTTTACAAAAAGCTCTATAGCCTGCTTGAGCCTACTGTATTTCATGCAAAATATAAACCAAGATTCTTCATGCTCTGTGATCGTTTCCTCGCCTCATCGTAAGTATTAGTATAATTAGTATAAAAAAAATTATACTAAATTTTTTTTATCCATCAATATATTTTCAATTTAATAATAATGCTATGCAGGTGATGAGTCACAATAACGTGGGGGAAGTATGTTGACCAAACCACACACTAGAAAGTGACGGGACGACGACGTTTCAGTCCATCCTGGACTAACTTGAGAATGGTCCAGGACGGACTGAAACGTTGTCGTCCCTTCACATTCTAGTGTGTGGTCTGGTCAACAATAATAGATGATATGATTCAGCTGTAAAACACAAATATGTTTTCATTATCATATACTCATTATAACCCCAAAGATGTTGACTTTATTTGCTTGGTGTGGTAGTGTTTATTATTATATATGCTTCTGTATGTGTACAAAATTTAATTATTTAAACTAATGAGGAGTGCATCTTGTCCAGTGCATTCAGAGACCCATTAAATCTTGACTCGAATTATTTTGTGACTTAAATCTCGAACCGATTTCTATTAGTATAAGTGATAAATACATTGAGCATATAGTCATGTATATGATATTCAGATGCCACTTTCTTGTTTAGCAGTTTGTATAAATTAAGTTGTTAAAGTAGTGATTTTGTCTGCTTTTAAACTGTTCATTAAATGTGATCCAAGCCACCATCTTTAGTTAACTGCACCTGGCCTTGTGAGACCTATCCTTGCCTACCAGAACCCAGGACCAGAATTCATCATGCATATATAAAACCACTTACAAAGCTTGTGCATCTTTCATTAATTAACAGTTTATGAGCTCTGAATCAGTGAGAGTGCTTAATAACAAATGGTCCTGGGTTATGAAACTTTGAAGCTCATAAATTGTTTAATAAAAGTTAACAAAGCAATCATGATTAAGGAAATGTATTCAGATTTTTTAAGGTGTTACGTAAATGCTCGAATCCAGGCCCATGGCCAAAATTTAGCTAGTCCTATTAGGCGAGGAGAGCTTGAAGATCAGAGATGCATGCAAAACCGAGAGAACCCCATCAGAAAGCATGGGGCAAAAATTAAACGGCTGTTTGAAGAAAATTTAGAACACCAAACATAAACAAGCAAACGATTGTTGACATGTGGTAATTATCTTAACTGTGTTGTTCCAAACTGCTTGTGGATAGAAGATCAAGTCACCCAAGGTCTAGGTTAGCCAGTTTTCTCACTTTTTCACCTGGTGCCATGGACTCCATCCACTTCTGATGAGGCCCATTCCAAGGAGGGCAGGAAAAAGGAAGGGGCATATGGATTGGGTGGGTGTTGGAGATGGGTTGGGTAGGAGGTAGGAATGGTTGGGTCATGAGTGATCACCAAATTGTGCTTGCATGTGTTGAGCTTTATCTCTTTGGCATCTGCCACTCTGTCTAAAGTCAAGAGTGTATAGGTTCCTGAGCTTATTGGGGTCTGTCATGTCTACATTTGATGCTATGTGTAGTTTATTTCCCCCATTTACTTTATATTGCATTACATTTGTTTAATACCGACACTGAAAAAAATTATTTCTAATGTCTCTGGCTCATTTGGGAATTTTGTTTCTATCTGTGTCCCCATGTTCATGTACGATGCATTCCAACTAGTTTGTCCTTGTTTCCTCTTTTAATCCCCTTATAATTTTGTGTATTATGATCAAATTTTCTTTAAAAGTTTAATACTTTTAGTCTTTCCTCGTTGCTCATACCTCATGGAAAGGAGAGATGATGAGTTAACGATTCTTAACTTCACCTATGTTCACCTATCAGTAATTGAGAAGCTGGTTGTAGGCCCATTAGCAAAACATGTTCTAGATAAAGTTAGGAAGGTATGGTTTAAGATGAACCATAGGAGGAAGTGCTCTATGCCCGCTAACAGGAGTCAGAACTCGTCTAGTCCTGTACCCATATGTTGAAATTGTACCGATGCCTATACTGCCAAAATATGCTGTCCAATAACGTATGTACCCTTAGTTGTAGATTAACCTGAATAGCTCTCTTGCAGACATATTCCAGAGTACCTAGTTGCTGCCTTCATCAAGCGCCTGGCACGACTCTCTCTTGTAGCACCAACCTCTTCTCTGGTTCTTATTCTCAAGTTTATAGCAAACCTTCTCATTAGATATCCAGGACTGAAGAAGCTTATTGATAACCCTAATGCTCAAGGTAAGAAATATTGTTGTTTTGTGGGTTTTATGTGGTTTCATTTTGTGTTGAGTTTAAAATTAAAGATGAACTTTAATATGATGGAAATAAGGTTGAACTGAATAAAGAAATATTAGTGTGTGAGGGAGTACTTATGAATGTAGGGTATTGCAATCTGTTGTGTTGTTAAAATTTATGTGATGATAATCTTTGAAGCACAAATATCACAAAATGCCTAAAACAAGTTCTGTTAAATGCTACGAAAAGTTTCTGTGTAGGAAGGATGTAGTGTATGTGAGTAAGAGTTTGTTGTAAGAAGTAATTGGTTTAATATTAATATAGATGTATGTCAAAAGTTGTATTGTTTCTCTCGCTCTTATTTCCAATATTTTTAAACCCATTACTGTCCTAGGTGCAAAGTTTATGTATAGCTGCATCTTTAGCTATTTTTACATATTTTCCTGTTACTTGAGGTTTAATTTATAGACACGTAGGTAATTTTGGGGGTGTCCATAAAGGTGCTATTGTACAGACCTGGGAATATATACTTTCATACTAAATGGACAGGGCACATAGCATTTTTCCACCAACAGGCAGGAAATTAAAAATTACTTGCACTTCTTACAACAGTGGTAATTTGTTTTCTATTTTCACCCAGCTCATTTTGGATGAACAAAATGGATTTATCATTGCTAATGGGGCCTTCTCTCTTTCTCTTTGCTGTGTCTACTATTTGCTCTCTGATTTTCATCTCCATCATGGGGATCTTTTGTTATTGAATCTATTTCCACTTGTTTGAAATCTCACAAGTATTAAGAGCGTAGCCCTTTCCTCCCATTGCCACTGTTGCCTCCTTTCCCATAACGTTCAGGCAGTTTTCATTACAGTACTTTCGTCACAGGTCTTTCCCTGCATCTTCTGCTGTTTAGCAGAATTGCTCATGACAGCTCTTTTATTGTTCTCCATTGTTATCATTTCTTGTTTGTAGTCCACTAGATTAAGTGATGGGGTGCTCTTTTGACAATTGCTGGAGTTTGGTGTTGCTATTTTACCTGTAATTCTATATGGTGTGAATGAAATAATAAATGTAGAAGTGTTTTTTTTTTTTAATATCTAGACAGCTCTTTCATATATTCACCTTTTTATTGTGGGTTGATGTCTTCCCAACCAATGAAAGCTGTATGTAGGGTAATTATAATAAACGAACGTAGATTAAAAAAATTCTACAAAGAATCTGGCTTATTTTTATGGTGAAGTATGTTGAGTGATATTAACTTTTTCATAGCCTTGGAGAGTGATCCATATGATGCTGATGAACCTGACCCTGCCCAATGCCATGCCTCTGAAAGTAGCCTTTGGGAAGTGGCAACCCTGACACAGCATGCTCTGCCTTATGTTGCCAAAACTGCCGGCTTTATAAACAGAAATTTACCATCAGTGGAATATAATATATCGGAATATGTTGAAACGTCTTATGAAGAGGTAAGAGTGATCCTATATCCTGAGTGGAATTGCATGCTTAATAAGTATTACAGGTAATAAATAGTCTTGTGTTTATTGTCTTCTGTTTTGTAAACCATTTACAGTGTACAGTAATTGGTCATACACTCGGCATTTTAATTTGTGATAGGAAGTTACTGTACAGTACACTGTAAAATATTATGTATCTTTAATCATGTTGCTGTAACTGTTTTTCTTTTTTAAAATAATTTACATGGTACAGTAATTGTTTACACACTCAGCAATTTAATTTTTGATGTGTCCAGTACAGTGTAAAATTTTGTGTCTTTAATCTTATTGCTGTAACTATTTTTCTGTTAATATTTTCTAGAGATTTCATCACATATGTACTGAAGGGAGACAATTTCTGTCTTTGTTGCTGATACTGGTTAAATGAGAAAAAATAAAAACAAAAATTACTCAAATACATTTTCATTTTATTAGAATTAGTCTATCACTATTTCTAGCAGGAACCTCTAGTTACCTTGGAGTTCCGTGGAATGCTAGTTGAGAAATGCTTTTCTAGGATGTACTAAAGAGTTGGCACTTTCATTTCATGTGCGGATCAAGTTATGTATTTATTCTGTGTAAATTTATAAACAAAAATCATCATTCGTCTTTGTAACAATATGATTTGTAAATAATGTATTTTGTTACTTCTGGTGTGTGTGATAATATTTTTGTAAACAATGAACATTTTACAGTTCTACATTTGGAGACAAAAGCAGGACTTTAAATGCTAAGATAGGCTTTCAAGGATATATGATAAAATGCAAATAAAATAATGCCTTACACTTTTATTATCAGAAATGCATTCATAATATGCAAGAATATTGTTTTTTGTCATGGTTATCTCTTATTTATCATCTCATTTATCTGCTTTCCTGTACAATATATCAGATTATTTAAATTAGAAGTCCTGTAATTTTTTGGCGTATTGTTTTAAGAATTGTCGATTGTAACTTCCACTTGCCTTGATAATTAATTGCAGTATATGCTAAATTCTTAACTTTCCAAATTAAAGTTATTCTTCTTTTCAGATCTTTGAGCGAGCATGTAAGATGACTGTTCGGGAAACTGTGCCAACCACATTCCATAAACCTCTAGGACTCTTTGACTATCATGATGACCAGATGTCCCAGTTTTGGAGTGTGGTGTGATGTGGGTTTGCAAGAAATAGTGAATAGTTTAGGAATATTTTGTATAAGGTACAGTATATAAATGTAAAATAAATTGTATTTCTCAAACTTAACGATTTTTTTGTATCCTGTGCTTGTATATCAGCTCAGTTGGCAAGATATGCCTCTAATGAGATACATATAATCTACAGTGTATAAGTTTTGGCAAACTCTGAAAGAAAGAGTGCCTGGCAAGGGCACTTGTCTTAATGTTAATATTCTCTTGGGTCCTGCTGTAATTCTCTTGGAGAAGAAGGGAGTGCACTCTCCACAATAAGTTCATAATGAGGATAATTAACAAGTCCTTATCTCTGGTATATTACTTAGTTTGGAATGTCAGCTGTGCTGAGCACCACCTAGAGGGTTTCTGTTTCATGGGTGAGGCTCGATAGGCAGTTTTTTCTAAAGATTTATCAATTATGGTGGATATGACTAGCAGCAATTCCCAACTGCAGTGCACTATCTTAATGTCAGCTGATTCTACCTGAGGCATATAGAAAGGAGAAAGTCTGTCTCTGGTCTGGCAATAATTCTTATGCTTGGCGAGAGTACTAATGTTGCCGTGGACCTCTGATGGTCATACAGTGCTCTCTGATTGTGCCTATGACATTTCTACATCTCACTAGTTCTATTCTGTATCTTTCACTCAAGTATTTGTATTTTACTGTGCAAATTTTGGGCCTAACCTTCCAGTATTTTGCATCTACCGATATATATTATTTGATACCTCTCTCATCTCCTTTTCAGAGAGTACTGTACATTTTGAGAGAATTGAGACGGTCCCAGTAATTTAGGTGCTTCATCATGTCCATGCTTGCCATATGTGTTCTCTGTATTCCCTCTATTTCAGAAATATCTCCTGCACTGAAAAGCGAAGTGAGTTCCGATTAGTACTCAAAGCTGAACAATTAAATCACAATAATGTGATATATATGTGACAAAATGATTGGATTGAACTCCTCGGGAACAAGTGTTTGTGCCTGAGGAGTTGAAGAATACATGCTTGATCCCCATCACATGGTTTCAGCATCTTCTCATAGATGTGTACTCTATTTCTGTACAAATACTGTATACTGAACATGTATTGCATATCTAAATATTAGCAAATATATTCAGTATATAGATTAGTTTACAATCATGTGATAGAACACATGGTGGGGCCATGTTCTAATGGTTAAAGATTTTGTATCATGCCCCTGGTTTCTCATTTCTTGTGAGGAAAATATGCATGTACAGTAGTCTGAAAGGGTCCTTAGTTATACAGATATATAATGAATTCCTTAGTTATATTTGTTCTTTTTATACAACATAAGTATAAGTGATTGGTTAAAAATTGTGAATTCAGTTTGAAAATAAAATTTTGGTAGTAAAATGAGTAGAGAGATAATTGAAGAAATGTTTTAAATTAAAATTTATAGGATTAGCTAATTGGTCAATAAAATGAATTCGTTTCTATGCATTTGGAGCTGTCTGTTCCCATTGCTTCCTTAGTCATGGTTGTAAGCTTGATTGGAATTTGTATATTTTCCTCAAAATAGTCTCTGGTTTAAGGGCTACAAATTTACCATTTAACTGATTCAAATATGCAAATGATTTTTTTTTTCCATGCCTGTAAAGACTGGAACCAATCAAATTTTTCTTGACTAAACTTTTTATTGGAATTACATAACAGGAATTTTTATGCGCTTTTGTTCTCGTATTGGCATCCTTAATGATATTAAACGCCTTTTGATTATCCTGTAACTTTGAATGGTGCTACGTGACAGGATGAACAACCCAGCGGGTTTTCTTCCTATTGGGGAGTGTTGTACATGCTGCTATGGCAGTATGTCCACTCACAAGATGAGTGGCGTTGCCCAATAAACTCGCCCCTCAGGGCAAAATTTAAATTTAAGCAAGCAGTGCATGCCAGTTACACGATGATCCACACTATCCAGATATTTGCCACAAATGTAGAGCAAAAGATTAGTAAGTTAAGCTACATAGACAGTTTAAGGGAGCTCAATCTAATGACATTATATAAAATCGAAGTTCAGGAAGAGATATGATCACAACATAAACGATAATGAGGAAGATTGAGAAAGTGGACAGGGACTATAGCTTATATTCTACACAGGGTAACAGGTGGAAGTTGGACAGAGAGAGCAATCAAATAAATACAAGATTTATTATACATTAAGGTGATAAGCATGTGAATGAATGTTACTGAATAATGAATTCAGAAAGAAGGGATTAAGGGTAATGGAGTAAGAAACGTCATGTAGCAACAAGAACAAAATAATAATAATAATGTGTGAGAGAGAAAACTAAAAATAATCGGAAGGATGGAATGAAAAAAATGACTAAGAAAACAACAATCTAGGTTTGAGTTCAGGATCACAGTTTGAGAATAACAATAAATTAAATGAAGGTGGAATATATAGATTTGAGTAAATGGAAAAAAGAAAGTAAATAGGAAAGAGGGAGAGACGGAAGGTGGGGGGATGGAGGGAGAGGGAGGGGGACAATGACGTGGGTGCACCGGACACAGAGAGGGGCGGATAGATAAAGGCTTGGGACGAAGCTCAACCATCATTACTAACTACTATTACTAACCAACACCATCGCTACTATCATTTAAAATATATTTTGATTATCATTTATATATATTTGTTTATATACAATGGGTTGTGGAAGTGCAGGTGTTGATGGTTAAATGGTACAGTCTTGTAAAGTCACTTTATACCGTGCTAAGGTCGCCTTAGGCATTTTGAGCTCTGTAACTACTTCATACACCCACGAATATTGGAAGATATTCTTGTGCTCTACCCAGAGTGTGCTAGTGTAGGATAGTATAGATTAGACTTTTATTTCATGTCCTCTTTTTATTCCATGTATAACTTACCATCCTGTGAGATGGGAATATTAGATGAACTAATAGCTAGCGTTTGATCTATACTCTGTAATATAGAATGAAGCAGCAGCACATTGCTTTGTATTCCCGAGTATGTCAATAACAACAAAAAAAGTACTACGACCAATAAGGGCCACCTTATTGGCCTTTATATTATAAGGGTTCAGAATCATCCTTCTGAAGATGTATTATTAAATACGAAAGTACTTAAGGAAATTCCTGTTTCACTTCTTTCAACGTGGTCTGATTATATATATATATATATATATATATATATATATATATATATATATATATATATATATATATATATATATATATATATATATATATATATATATATATATATATTATATAATGATTAATATATATTAATGATTAATCATCATTAATAACTCAAGGGGCTTTCATCAGTATTAAAACCCCCCTCAAAATATTTAACAGATAAGACTTTAGTTCATTTAATATGCACCTCATTCCCACCCTGTTGGGTTGTAGTGAAAAAAAGGATGCAGAACCCAACATTCACTTAGCCAAGGAAATTACAGTTTTGATTAGCTAATTATATAAACAATTAATGAGTTTGCATATATATGCAGTGAGCTAGTTTCGTAATTTGGTTGTCTTATCATTCCCTCCTCACCCTCCTGTACTCGCGGTAAAAAAGTATTTTTTTATTATCAAGCTTAGGTAAACACAGCAGTGAGCTGCTACTCTCTGTGAATGTGAATTCTCAAGCTTGTGTGTTGTGAATTCCAAAGCTTGTTGAAAAGATTACAATCACCCACATTTACTACCTTCAGTTAGCAAGCTTCGGATATTTGTTTAAAGTTTCTGGTAGTAGATAATTTTGGATGATATATTGACACATTTCTTGATCATTTGGTTTTCGAGCTGTCCCTAAAATATTGTGCGTGCCAATAATTTTGCTGAGAAAGTGAAACAGACATAAAGCGAATCTAAATATTGCAATAATGAAATACACCATACAGTATATATAAAGTTTGATCCTGAGGCACTCGTTTACTGAATAGTGTGACTCATCCTGTGAGTGAACACCTCGTCCTGTGAGTGAACACATTACCCCCACAAGAATCAAGTATTACTCATCCAGCGAGTAACCACACGGCCTTATAAGGACACTGCACTCATCATGTGAGTGCCACTTCCCTCCACTAGTTGATTCTGCCACAAGCATTATCAATATGACCTTGGCTGTTGCCCTGTCTCGTAAATTATATTATATTGAATAATTGCAACACGTTAAGCATATTTTTCTAGAATGATAATATATTGCAACATGTTTTGATTTTATATATATATATATATATATATATATATATATATATATATATATATATATATATATATATATATATATATATTTTTGGTCGTCCACCAAATTATATAAGGAGGAGTTACTCCTCCTTATATTAAATATAAGGAGTATTGATTTCATTATCAATTACATTATTACATTATCAGTTATGGTACTATAAAATTATCCTGTAATCAATTACAGAACGTAAACTGTAAGTATTTTCTTGCGTTGTAAAAATTTGTTTATAAATCCCCAAACTCTGTTGTAATTGATTTTTTATTTGTATTTTTACGAAGAATGAGTTTGCTTTTTTATGCATATGAGTAGTGAAAACAGATCAACCACCTTTACAGCGTTTGGGACCCCGCCTCTCAACCCATTATCGACCCATTGATGGCGTGGTTGTGGTTGAGGTATAAATTGTCCTCACATTCGTCAAAATTCTAGTGCGCTAATGAAATATTAAAAGTAGTGTAAAATTGACGGTTTTCGCACTAATGAAAATGTGAATCAGTGTTGGTGAGGAGGGTTGTCTGGGTTCAAACTCTGTTGGTTAACTAAAATACTTATAAGTCTAAATGCTGAGTTTTTAACATGTATTTAAGTCAGAATCTGACATAAATAAAAAATCTGCATTTTGACTTATAGGTATTTGCCCTGTAAGTCAGAATCTGACGTATAAGGCACTTGACCATGTTCGAAGCTTTGATTCGGATCGTGGCTCATTCGCGCTCAGGTGGTCAAGTCGAGGCTGCATAGTCAACACTCCCTAAATCTACATGAAACGACGATTGAAAAACCTCCATAATCTTTTCCATTCTAACCCAGCCTAACCTAACTCAACTGAGTCTAACACAGCTTAGGATACAGATTAATATGTATTAGTTTAGGCTGGGCTCGGTTAGGTTAGGTTAGACTGGGGTAGAGCCGAGTTATAAAATCCGTTTTCGAACCGTCCAATGGACGCATTGGCTTGTACCCGTTGAGAGGAGGTGGTTGGTGGTGGTGGTTGTCCAGTTAGCCACTAGGGGGCAGCAGTAGTGAAGTCTCTATACGCCTGCCCCGGCGTCCCTCAGTCCCCCTCACCATCACAGTACGACCTGGTAACCCTAATCTATACCACTTTCATACACAAACAAAAGGAAAATAACATAGAAAGAAGCCTCGACTGTCGGCGGGAAGCTGTTGTAAGCTATGAACAAGTTGTGGCAAAAGTTAGTGAACAGTTATGAACAAGTTCCATTAAACTTAGTGCGAGTTATGGAGAAGTTACTATTACGTTAATTCAAGTTATGAACGAGTTGCAACAAAGTTTGTGTGAGTTATGAACGAGTTCCTATAAACTTAGTGTGTAGTTGTGAACAAGTTGTAATATAGTGTGAGTTATGAACAAGTTGCTTCAAACTTATTGCGAGTTATAAACAAGTTGTTATAAAGTTAGTGGAAGTAATGAACAAGTTACCCCAAACTTGAAGCGATATATGAGCAATTAGTTGCTAGTAACTTATTGCGAATTATTAACAAGTTCTTATAAAGTTAACTCGAACTATTAAACATCTGCTACAAGCAAGATTTACGAAGGATTATTCTTTCAGGAGGTACTATGAAAGTTAATTGAGAATATTGTGCTAATTATTATTATTATTTTTTTAGAAATTAGCATATTTTAACTTTTTTTTTAATGAACACAAACGTCCCCTCGATTTTGTACAACTCTAACGGCTATTACCATTCCTGAAAAAAAGATTGAGTGAATTGAATTCCAAAAAAGACTCGGACAGAAATATACTGAGAACAACTTTGCGAAGAAGTCAAATTTTTGTAATAAATTACAGAAAACGAAGATTTGTGTACTCATACGAAGACTCGTGTTCGGACTACGAAGATTCGTGTTCGGATACGAAGACTCGTGTTCGAATACGAAGATTCGTGTTCGGATACGAAGCCTCGTGCACGGATACAAAGACAAGTGTTCGGATAGTCTCTTGAGTGACCAAATTAGTGAAGACAAACGGGTTTAACCAGCAGTATGGACAACATATACTGGCTCTTATTGCTGGTCGCCTTAGGGGCGATTTTCCTCCAGGAGTCGTTGGCTAGACGTAAGTGTTAGACCGCAGCTTAAAATTAACTCATCACAAATTACATATTTTTGCTATATTTATTGTTATTATTTTTACTAAATTATTGTAATAAATAATATTATTATTAGTTTTGCTTCTCATCAATATGTGTTTATACATTACTAGTTTACTTTAAAGTTTTAAAGGCCGAAGTGCAAAAAGTTTGGTGTTGGGCTTAAGGCCCCATCAACCTCTGAAGGGTTATTAAGGCCACCACCACAGCTTACTGACCACCCAGCAGGAATACTTCAACCTTGAGCACAGTTTAGGAGTAAACTCAGTACATAAACCTCTCTGTGTATACTGGGATATATACACCACTTGATGTATACATCCCTTGTAAAGTTAGCATAAAATTATACATATTATTATTAACACATTTTTATTAAGAAACAATTGTGTTATAATTGGCTTTTGGAACCAATAACTAATTGTTTATATTATATTTATAAATAATTCCTTGTGTCGAGGGACAGGCAGCCAGTGTTTATATATATGTTAGGCTTATATCGAGGCTTCCCCTCAGGGTCAAATTACCTGAATTTACCAGAGGGCCACTAACACTCTAGTGGCCTCGACGAGGACAGGAACCCCCATGGACAGGATCTTGTCAAAGATTCCCTCATTTGTCCTAATGATTTTTTCAAGCTGGATTTTAACATTCAACAGAGTTTTGGTATTTACGACTAGGTGAACAGATGCATTTGGTGATACGATGGCAGAACTGACCTTTTACTGAACACAAATCCTCGGCATTAAGGGAATATCTCTATCTGTTTTCGGAATAATTTGTTCTTGGTGACGAGAGACACCGACAGAAGCTGTCAACTTGCTTACTCGTCGATAAAACGTCAGGTTTTATCAGCGAGTCGTTACTGGGTTACAGTGGTTCATATTAGTGGTCGTTGGCTCCTAGTGGCTCATGGCAGTGGACACTGGCTCCCACTGGCTCCCGGTGGATTTTGTAGGTGGTTACTGGCTTACAGGGGCTCACGTCAGTGGTTACTGGTTCCCAGTGACTGATATCAGTGGTTCCTGATTCCAAGTGGCTCATATTTGTGGTTACTGGGTCCCAGTGGCTCATATTAGTGGTTCCTGGTTCCCAGTGGCTGATATCAGTGGTTCCTGGTTCCCAGTGGCTCACATCGGGGGATCTTGGCTCCCAGTTGATCATATCAGTGGTCGCTTCATGCAGGTCGACGTTCAATCGCCCGACCGTCCAAGTGGTTGGGCACCATTCCTTCCCCCCTGTCAATCTCAAATCCTTATCCTGACCCTTCCAAGTGCTGTATAGTAGTAATGGCTTGGTGCTTTCTCCTGATAGTTCCGTTCCCTTCTAGACCTTTTGACCTTGCTTGTTTCCAAGTAATTGTTTGTTATTGTCTCCAGTAATTGTTATTTTCTCCAGTAATTGTTTGTTATTGTTTGATCAAGCAACGTCTGCCCGCGGATATTCTGGTACCATTAACCTTTCTTCGTAGTTCAGCCTTAAGTCCAGAGAACGGGCTCTCGTCTGTCTGTCCTCCATAACTCTGTCCTGCAGCTCAGAGACAAGACTTTCTTCAGTCTTTTCCCATAGCTCAGCTGTGGATAAAACAGATTGTTAAATCATGATGATTTTGAAGACAAACTCATTTGAGTATAAAATCTATCGAAAGGGTTTTCGGTTTCACTTGGAGTAAATTTTAAGATTTTCTAAAGATAAAAGTAGCTTACTGTATACATAAGCAAAATTAACTTCAACAAATGTCCTGAACTGTTTATGTATCGAATGTATTTATGAATATATGAATGAACTCTCGCTTAAATTAAATATTATTATTATTATTTATAGAGAAAGAAGAATTCCGTATTTTGTTCAGACTTCTTGTTGTCCTTGAAGCTGCGATGCACTTTTGTTAAGACGTCATGTTGTCCTTGGAGAAACTGCTGTATACTTTCCTTTTTCGTTCTCCTTTTTCCCGTTCCTTTGGACTGGAAGAATGAGCGCGCCCGCTGTATAATTCAATCTCCCCTCGTACACTGTTTGGCTTCCCCTCTTTTTTTTTTCATTATCTGGAACTGAGGCAAACTTGAGCGAGTGGGGGAAGGATTTTATAAAGAACATGCTATCCTGTCCCTCACCTTTAAGGTTTTAATTCTCGATGATTTGAAAAGGGAAAATGAGCTTTCTGGGCCGGTCGCTGATGGAACCATTCAGCATGGGAGGAAAGAAATAGGTTCTGGTAATGAGTAGGCAGATGTTCTGCCTTTCAATCAAGTGCCTGTTTCATTCGTAAGGAATAAAGATGACTTCTTTTCTGCTAAACATTGAGTTATTTTTTACTCGTATGACGGAATCGACAGCACTTGTAATGGCTGGAGTTAGCCTGACGGTGGAAGTATTTGACACCAGTCTATTGTCTCCAGTAGTTGGTGTTGGGTGGAATGTTGTCTATTGCTTCCAGGACTTTGTGGTCTTTGTCCTCTCCTACTTCTTCTCCCTTTCAACCTTTTCCTCCTCCTTCTCCCCCCCCCCCTCTACTTCTTCACCGCCTCTTCTTCCTCCCGCCACTAAAGGAGGCCGATTCATCTTAGGTTACGGAAGGAACAGGCGCGATTACTTCCCCAAGCACGTCTGACCCGAACTTCGCCAAACTGAGGATCAACTGCCGGAATTAGGACTGGGTCGTGCTTGGATTTAGGGCAGGCCAGGTGAGCCCTTGAGTGAGAGGTGAGGTGAGCCCTTGGGTGAGAGGTGAGGTGAGACCTTGAGTGGGAGGTGAGGTGAGACCTTGGGTGAGAGGTGAGGTGAGACCTTGAGTGGGAGGTCAGGTGAGCCCTTGAGTGGGAGGTTGGGTGAGTTCTCGAATGGCAGATCAGGTGATTTACTGAGTGGGAGACTGGGAACAGGAACAAACGAAGGGGAGAGAGAAAGGAGAAGGAAGAAGAGGAGGAGGAGAAGAAACACAAGGCAGAGAAAGAGACGAAGAGGAGCATCCAGTAAGCCTAATAACCCTAATTCATCACAACAGCGATATGACTGAGACCTGAGAACAAAATCACAGAGGCCAAAAAAACAGAAGCGCAACGCCGAGGCGTGAAACTAAGAGATAGCCTTCAAGACACGGGGGAGAAGATAGCAGTCAAGACCCGTGGAAGAAGATAGCAATCAAGGCACAGGGAAGAATATAGCAGTTAAGACTCAAGGGAGAAGATAGCACTCAAAACACAGGGGAGAAGATAGCGAAGCCAAGGGAGGAAAGTATTGAGGCATGAAGCAGGCGTCTCTCAGGAGGAGACAGAGAGAGAGGGGGGCACGTAATTAGAAAACTTTATATAGATATGAAACTAGTTTTCGAAAACTCTAGCAGTAATACTCACCACAATAGTCGCTTTGCTCCGCCCTTGTCAGAGATAAGCGGGACACTATTATTATTATTATTATTATTATTATTATTATTATTATTATTATTTGTTATTATTGAGAAAATAAGTATGAGTTATGAGTAGGATTCGAACCCATGCTCTGAGAACTCCTAAGCAAACGCTTTAGCCGTCCTAGCTACCCAACGACATGGTAAATGGTACTTGGGATTCAGGTGAGTCCTGTAGGGTTCCTGAGGGTTGCTTACGCTGAAGCCTGACCAGGTGTTTACACGTGGCTTCCACATACTCTGACTTGTAGTCTTGGAAGTCTACCTCCTACGACTCTCTTCAAATGCACCAAGAAATGCCCCAAGTGGCCAAAGGTTATGCACCGGAACTCTGTGTCAGACCCTATCAAACTCTCCAGTATTATCGAAGGCTGTGACAGACGTATCCTTTGTGAGGTCGAGATTTTTGTTCCATTATGTGGTCGTCTGTTGTAACTTGACTTATATAGGGGCTCCTGTTGTCTCAAAAATCTTAAACACTAGTATTTAATAACTCTTATCAAAGTGCTTTTTCTCTTCTTCCATCTTTTAAGGATGTAGACAGTTCACAAACTGGTTTTAAGACCTTGCTAACACTCTTGAGAAATGCTGCCTATTTTTCATGTTGGAAAGTAGACACTCGGGGTTCTACTTTCTTTCTTCCTCTATAGTTAATAAATTCTCTCAAGGAATAGAAGCATGTGTGAATGATCTATCTTCCTGAAATACATATTGCATGTCAAGTGAAAATTTCAGAGTTCTGGGCCCTCCACAGCCCTGGTGGCTACAGAATCATCAGGTCAGGTCAGGTTTGGAAGGGTTGGGTCAGGTCAGGTTTGGAAGGGTTGCGTCAGGTCAGGTTTGGAAGGGTTGCGTCAGGTCAGGTCACGGTACGTTAGGTTTCCTAAATGGTGCTATACAGTCATCAGATGCAAGTCCTTGCAACGCTATTCTGATGAGACACTAAATATCTCTCAACCCCTTTTTGCGTGTAATATGTAGACTTCATATCTGTCTGTGAACTTGTTCTTAAAATAAATATCTCGCAGCCTTGTTTACAGACAACGGGCTTTTGTCAATGCAACAGATTTTCGTTCTATTTATCTGTAACTTTTGAACATAAACATTTTGGTGAATATTGGTAACTTTTCTCAACGCTTGGTCATCCTGAAGGGTGTGGCTCGACTACCTATCCTTCCTATCTTTCCCTTATTATTCATGCCCGTCCCTCCGACTATCTATGCTCCTAATACTATCCATGCCACTTTCATTATTGATGACCCTCTCACTGTCCTTGCCTCTCCTCTTTCCCCCTCACGACCCGGGGTAATAAGATGTCCAAATAAGAAAAAATAACATAGGTTTAGCGGGTATTTGGGAACTGACATAATGGGGTGGCAATAATGACAGGTGTTTGACGTCAGATAATCTCTCTCTCTCTCTCTCTCTCTCTCTCTCTCTCTCTCTCTCTCTCTCTCTCTCTCTCTCTCTCTCTCTCTCTCTCTCTCAAGAAGAGGGAATTGAGGAAGGATAAGATAAAAGAGGAATATAAGAAATGGGAGAAGAGGAGTAAGGATTACGAGAATATTACGAGAATTAAAATATTGAAAGAGGAAATAAAGGAGGTGGGTGAGGAAAAAACTGTAACTGTAAGAGAGGGGGGGGGAGAGAGAATGAAGAGCAGGAACAGACATAAGGAACAATCGATTCAGTTTCCACCTGTGACCTCTTGCTCGCGTACCATGTTAAACAGTTTAGGTTTATCTGCCCTGTCAATTCCTCGGAGAATTTTATAGGAAGTGATCATGTCTTCCCCCATCTCTTCTGTCTTCCTGTGTCGTGAGGTTCAGTTCCAGTAATATTTCCTCGTAACTCATTCCTCTTAGCCTGTGCGCGCGTGTGTGTGTGTGTGAATACGTCCGATCTCATCTTGAACAGTTCTGTGCTCTCTTCTTGTGTTCGAATCGCACATTTCTATTGTAAATTCTTTTCAAACGTTCTGTAAAAAGTAGTATTTGTCAACAGAACCAAGACATCTGACATAACCTATCCTAGGCCTGCCAATACACAAAATTATAATATACAATGTACATTATAATATACAATGTACATTATAATGTAAAATTATAATGCTCTTCCATTTCCCTTCCCTCTCTTCTACTTCTATCCCATTCCTTCTTTTCTCTTCTACACGTACCCCTTATTTTCTCTTTCCGGTGCCTCTTCTTTAATATTCTGATCCCCCATCTCTTACCTATCCTGTTCTCCTCTTTCCCTTCTCACCCTTTGCCGTTACCCCTTCATTTCCCTAGCCCCTCTCCCCCTGACCCCCTATTCCATCTCTCCTCTTACCTATCCAGGTCCCAGTTATTGCCCCCCTTACCTATTCTCTTTCATTACAACTGTCTCCCTCCCAGACTCTTGTTGGGCTGTTGACACAACGAACTAAAAGGGAAACAGACTTGCTATAGAAAAAACAAAATAAATTTTTTTTCTGTTACGATGTATTTTATTGATTTATTTTTTTTATTACTCTGGTCCTATTACTGTTGTCTACACTTTGTCAGGCTAGTTTGTTTGTTTAGTTTTCTTGTTTTTGTTCGATGTTGCTTTAAGTTTTGTGGCTGTTCTTGTTTCTTGGGTTCTTAGTGCCCTAATTGTGCCTGTTGGTTTGTTTGTCTGTAATTGTTTTAGCTCTTGTCGAGGTCAGGGCAAAAGGTCCGGTTATGATATAAGGGTAGGTCAGGGCAGGATATCAGGGTAGTAGGTCAGAACAGGTTAGGGCAGGATATCAGGGTAGTAAGTCAGGGCAAAATATTAGGATTGACCAGAGCAGGTTATGGCAGGATATCAGGGTGGGAGGTTAGAGCAGGATATCGTGGCATGTCAGAGTCGCAAGTCAGAGCAGGAGATAAGCGCAGGGGGAGGCTCAGGGCAGGGAGTCAGGTCGTATTTAGGAAGCTTGTGAATCAGCTCAGCTCAGGAGGTGAAGCTGGAGAGATATTTATGACACAGCAATGTGGCGTTCGTGTGCTGGCTGAGTGTAAACAGGTCATACAAATGCAGGGTGAGTTTATGTAGTATTTACACAGTAAGTCATAGCAACGTGGCTGAGGTTTCCAACGGCACATTAACATGCTCTTGGAGAGCATCCTCACTGGCATATCTGTAGATGGAGGAAGGGACGACGTTTCGGTCCATCCTGGATCACTGTCAGGTCGTCCTTGTCCCCCTGTCAGGTCGTTCTGGACCACTATGTCGTGTGTTGAACAAACTACACACTAGGAAGTGAAGGGACGACGATGCTTCGGTCCGTCCTGGACCATTTTTAAGTCGACCATTCTCACAATCGACTTGAGAATGGTCCAGGACGGACCGAAACGTCGTCGTCCCTTCACTTTCTAGTGTGTGGTTTGGTCAACATTTTTCAGCAAGGTTATTGTGACTCCTCGTCTGAACTATGTCGTGTGTTTGTTACTTTTCTCAGATGTGTAGGCTGGGTGAGTATATAGGTGATATTTGTTCTATTAGTATATTTGTAATCAAAGTTGTATATTAATACGTAAGTGTGCGTATGCCATATTTAAAACATATTTATATATGCATGTAAAGATTGCTTCTGCCTTTCTGTCCCTCTCGCTCTCTCTCACCCCTCTATATCCCTCCCTCACTCTCTTGATTTCCCTCTTTGTCTGTCTCTCTCTCTCTCTCTCTCTCTCTCTCTCTCTCTCTCTCTCTCTCTCTCTCTCTCTCTCTCTCTCTCTCTCTCTCTCTCTCTTCCACTCTGTCTCTGCCCAACCACTTTGGCTGGACGGTACAGCGACGGTCTCGCTTCATGCAGGTCGGCGTTCAATCCACGACCATTCAAGTGGTTGGACACCATTCCTTTCCCCGTCCCATCCCTAATCCTTATCCCTTCCAAGTGCTAAATCTAATCCTAATAGCTTGGCGCCTTATCCTGATAGTTCCATCCTTGTACCTTTCTCCTTCTCCCTCTCTCCCCTTCTCTCCTTCTCCCTCTCTCACTTTCTATCTCATTCTTTTTCTCTCTAACCCCCCCCCCCCATGTCATTTTACTCTCCCCAAACACTCATTTCCTCTTTCTCTACCCTTAGAGGGCAATTCGAATTGCCCCTGGATCGACCTGGAGAACGGTCGAGTGAAGCTCAGGTCCCAGGGTCGAGTGGCCAAGTTCAAGTGCAAGAAGGGCTTCACCAGGTTCGAGGGGGACCGCTTCGCCGCCTGCGTCAGGAATGAGTGGAATGGCAAGATCCCAAAATGCATAAGTAAGTCCATTTTACCAAGTTCAGATATTTCAAGTCACTAATATTCTGCTACTGTTATTATTAGAACAACTAGTAATAGTCGAGTAACAACTCGAAAATTCTTGATTAGATGATGGAGTTGAAGGCCATGATAGATTTGTGATTTGGTGGCCAAGAAGGAGTATGCTGCCATGTTCTATTTGAGAGTTACAGTTAAAATTATGTACAGTTACCTTCGTCTCCCAGAGTGGAGAGGGAGAAACTTAGCTACCTGGTCTCCTAGGAGTTTCTAGGAGCAGGCTTCAGATGAGGTGAGGTAGGATAACAGCTCTTGCTTACAGTTTCATTAGGTATGTTATTTGACAGCCCCTATGAACCCTAGTCTCAGTTAAAAAAAAATAAAAGAGAGAGAGAGAGAGAGAGAGAGAGAGAGAGAGAGAGAGAGAGAGAGAGAGAGAGAGAGAGAGAGAGAGAGAGAGAGAGGGTAATTGGTGAAACGAAGGCGCTGCGCGGAAACCTCGCTAGAGAGAATCGAGATAGGATTGGAGGAACGCCAAGAAGGATCCAATTCCTGCAGAAAGAGAATTAAGTCCCTGGGAAGGCTGATCGACGTTCGCGAATGCCACCGGATCTTCAAGGGATTCTGACTTTGGCGTTCTCGCTCGCTATGAACTCTTGCTTTAGGTCTTACAGCAGAGATGGCGTGTCGTGATCTTTTTGCTTAGATATTATCATAAAACTTCTCCCATCATAAAATTTATTCAGAAGCCCAGAAACAATACGTCTCTCTTATCCATGTCTTAGTCCCTATCCATCTTTCCCCATGTGTTTTACAAAATGACACAGGGAAGGTATGTGACTGTCATAGGTCAGTCGTAGTCGGGTCCATCCACCCTTTCAAGAGTAGCAGCATCTTTAAAGACCCCCTAAGATTTTTCTTGAAGACTGAAAACGGGGATGTGTTTTCCATAGAGATTTTATAAACTTTAATTTCTTCATACTATTAAATATTCTGAGAGAGAGAAAGAGAGAGAGAGAGAGAGGAAGAGATTACTAAAATATCATCATTTCGTCTTCGTTGACGTAAATATCAGGGATAAGCGATGCAAGATAAAAATTTAAATATATAAAAATGTAAAAATATAAAACCATGTATACCATGTCCCTCCTAACCAATCTTGGCCTCACCACCAGACAACTATAGTCTTCTCCTCATCATAACTTATCCTGTTCCTTATTACTGTTGCCACACAGCGCTTTCCGCACGCTGGCTTCACTGGAACCCCCTGTCTCTCGCCCTCTCTTTTATCGCTCCAAGTTGTTCTAAGTAGATTATTCCCTCGGTGAGGATACGAAAGGAATGAAAGAAAATTATATTAGCTTCCTCGAAGACTCGTGTTTTTATATGGAAGAGAGAGAGAGAGAAAGAGAGAGAGAGAGAGAGAGAGAGAGAGAGAGAGAGAGAGAGAGAGAGAGAGAGAGAGAGAGAGGTTAACTGTAATTATTTTTCTGTTCATTTGTGAACTTATTAGGAAAGTGATCAAAAACACAATAGAGCGAATTAATAAATTATCTATAAGAACCGGTTTATCTCACACTCGCAAAGTACCTTCCTGGGACAGCTGACTAATTCTGAAGGAATAAATAAACCAAAAGTCCAACATAATACAGAAAATTGTTCAGAGAGATTGAAAATGGTGTGCGATTATATTATGTATTCTGTAACTCGCTTGCAATTCTTGGTCTGGTGCTGACCTATCAGCCTTGGGAGAGTTGCCGAGCCCACCAAGATAGCATATTGTTCAAACAGCAAGTATACTTTTGTCCTGGGTAGAGTATTTTCTCAAGTGTGTATACTTGCAAAATGTAATACACTAATGCCACCACAGCACATTTATTGACTAACCAGTAAATATGCTTGAGTCCTGAACGTATTCTAAATCAAATGTAAACTCTCAGGTGTGTATATACACCCTGAGATGTTTACATATACAGCTTTATATATATATATATATATATATATATATATATATATATATATATATATATATATATATATATATATATATATATATATGACAATGTCAGACCAGGGAGGAAAAATGAAACAGGAAATTTCCTTAAGTACTTTCGTATATTAAATACATCTTCACCTTCTGAAGATGTATTTAATATACGAAAGTACTTAAGGAAATTTCCTGTTTCATTTTTCCTCCGTGGTCTGACATTGTCACATTCTTAATCACGTGTTTATTTTCGTGATATACACACATATATATATATATATATATATATATATATATATATATATATATATATATATATATATATATATATATATATATATCCCAAGTATTGTACTAGAGAACACTGTTAATGAAGGGAGTTCCAGACTGATGACTGAACACAAATAACACAACTTTTACTATGCCACAATAAATTTCTTGAGGATGATACGCCCAAACTTTGCTCATATCGCTCGCCAAGTTAATTAAGTTTGGGATGATAGTATTTTTTATGAGTGATATTAGCTGCACTTGTCAGAGTTGTTAATGATTACATAACAAGGTTGGTCTCGAACCCCTAATTCTAAGTAATGTCGTTGTCCTTAGGGCTTACGGCCACAAGGGCGGCTTTGACACAGTTGACAAGGTGACAGATATATAAGACAAGTCAACTAGACAATACACAGACAATTAGGCAAGACAGACTACTGAACAAGGAAGACTGAGAGACATAGATCAAGCCAAACAAAACAAGAAACACTCCGATAAGTGAGGGAGATGAATATGGAAGACAGACAGACAGATGTAGATACAAGACAAAGAGAGAGACACAACCAAGATAAACTGACAGAACTTCACTCGGATTGACCAAACCAAACTTCAACAGCCGTGAGTTCTGACCATTTTTGTATAGATTCTAGAATTTTACCATTACCCACCTACCACTAGATAACTCTATTTCTTCCATTCCATTTCCTTTCATTTCCTCTGTATAACCTCTTCCTCTCTCTCCCCCTCACTTTCCTTGCCTCTCGTTCATACTCTATTTTGCTTCCATTTCTCTTAGTTTACACCTTTATATCTCTTTGTTTTCATTATTTTGACTTTCATTATTTATTTGTGTTTACTAGATCCAAAAAGTAATTTACATTAATAATTTCTTAAATCTATTTTAACTGGTATAGTGAATGTTTGAGAGTCGATGACCCTCATAAAGTCACTACCTTAGGCTTAGGCTTGGTGGTTGCAAACCTTAGTCCTGGCTTGATGTTGCAAACGCCGGTGCCTCTTGGTACACAGTTAAATGCTCCAAATCTTCCTAAGAAGCGGGATCTGTCTTGTGCTTTTTCCTTCTGAGTATTTTGTTCCTTTTCGTCTCTTTTTCCCTTTTGCGTTCAGTTTTCTCTTACCTTTTCAGCTTTGTTTAGCTGCAATTAAGCTTTCTGCAATTGCATTTGTTCTTTCAATAGCTTGATTTTCATGATTTCCTTCTCACTTTCTCTCGTTTCTTTATTATTTTTTATATAATAATTCGTTTCGTCGGGGACAGGAAGCCTGTGTATATACTTTACGTTTTGAATCGAGGTCCCCCCCCAGGGTGGAACTACGAACCCTCCCCAGGATGAAACCTAACAAGAGCTGACTAACTCCTGGGAGCGTATTTACTGCAAGGTGAACTGAGGAATTATGTGAAAGGAAAGGTTGCCAACCATTTCTGCCTCGCCTGGGAATCGAACCCGTGACCCCCAATTATCAGTCGAGCACGAAGCCATCCCGAGGGAAGATTCTTCATGTTAATGTGATTTCATTGTGGGAATAATAATTAATAATAATAATTAATAACAGTCTTCCTACCTCATGGAATTGTTAAAAGGGACAGTGTTAAACTGCTTTATTAAGTGACATTAAGAGAGCCCATTTACATTCTCCCAAAAAGGCAAAGAGGAAATATGTTTGAAACATAAGCTGCCTCGTATGGATCAGGTCTTCCGCAGTTTCCTTCAGTCTTATAGCCAAAAGTGAACTACTTTAACAATAAACTTTTATATCATAAAACTAGTTGATCAAATTGCTTTTGAGTACCCATAAGTTTTCCCAAGATAATATTTAATACTAATAATATCGATCGGATTATTTTTTTTAATCAGAGACGATCCCGGTATGTGTTCAGTCGTTTGAAATTTAAAGATACGAAGGTAGGGGCGGAGAACACCGCAGAACACATAACTTTTACTGCCTTGATATGACGACTAGAACAAATCTGCGAATAAATTGCTGAACTCCTAAGAGTTTTCTAGGTCATTGAGAACGGACTAGTTTTTGAAGTCGTTAGTAGATAAATTGGAAGAGACCAGTTGCTTATCGAACTACTATTTTCAACTTCTATAGGGAAGACGCGCATGTTAAATACTTCAGCTGTTCCTGGACTGAGACCTACTCAGCTCCCCAGCCCATGAACATAAGACTATTTTAAAACAGCTAAAAGAAGCTATAAGAACAACTTGTTTTAAGTCACGTATGTTTTTAGCTCACCTTTAATTATTTTTTTAATTATTGTCTTTAATTATTTACTTAATTTTGTAAATGCTGTATTATAAATGTGTATAGATAAATCAATATCAATTATAATGTCAATTTGAGGGTAGAGGAGAAACACTGAAGGCTAGCACCAACTTTTTTACCAGTAATTGCTGTTGGGTACGGGCCTAACATTGGAGAGTCGGGATTGGTGCCAAAGAAAAGAGTTTCAGATAACTTTGTGCCAACGTCACTTCCACAAAAATCTCGCAATAATAGCGTTAAGATTAGTGATTTTGTAGGAGGGAGGCGAGAAGGAGATCGGCGGAAAAGAAGGGGGAAAGTTGGGGGAAGAAAAGGAAGGAGAAAAATGAAGGAAGGAGGAGGAGGAGAAGAAGGATGGGTCAAGAAAAAGGGAAGAGAGAGGAAGGAATGGAAGAGATGGAAGGTGAGGGAAGGGGAAGGGAATTTTCAGGGAAAAGCGCCAAGCTATTACGA